CCAGTGTAGTTTCTATTGTTCAGGTGTAGTTTATATGGTCCAGGTGTGGTTTCCATGATCCAGGTGGAATTTCTATGATCCAGGTGGAGTTTCTATGGTCCAGGTGTAGTTTATATGGTCCAGGTGTAGGTTCCATTCTCCAGGTGGAGTTTCCATGGTCCCGGTGGCGTTTCTATGGGCAGATGGAGTTTCTATGATCCAGGTGTAGTTTCTATGATCCAGGTGCATTTTCTATGGGCAGGCGTGGCTTTTATGGGTAGTTGTAATTGATATGGGAAGAAAAATAAAATAAAAACATGTTACTGCAAAATGAAAGAATCCGTTTGAATTAAGTATAATATTATGTACTTGAGGCAGCACGGTGGCGCAACTGGTAGAGCTGCTGCCTCTCAGCGAGCAGGTCCCTGGTTCAAACCCCGGTCCAGGGGCTTTTCTGGGTGGAGTTTGCATGTTCTCTCCGTGCATGCGTGGGTTTTCTCTGGGTACTCCGGTTTCCTCCCACAGACCAAAAACATGCATGTTAGGCTGATTGGTAACTCTAAATTGTCCCTAGGTGTGAGTGAGAGAGTGAATGGTTGTTTGTCTCGTTTGTCTCTATGTATCCCTGTGATGGACTTGCGACCCATCCAGGGTGTACCCCGCCCCTCGCACAGTGATTGCTGGACATGGGCACCAGCGACCCCCGTGACCCAAAATAGAATAAACGGGTAAAGAAAATGGATGGATGGATTATGTACTTGAATTAGTCCAGATATTATAAAATGTAAGAGAGCACCCCTGAGCTAAATCCATCTCTAGGCATCTCTCATTACAATATTGATAGAAAAAAAATGACGGAGAGTAGAGAGGGTAGGACTGCAGCAGAGTGAGGAGATGTGGTCAGTTCGTCTTCCAGTCATCTAAGTATTTAGCAGCAAAACTAAGGGATAACTTGGGAAACCCAAGCCAACTTGAAGTATAGGATTTATTAAAAAGGGTAGTCTTCAAAGCAGACAGAGTGTCAGCCTCATGGACAGAAAATGGAAGTTGGTTCTTCAAGAGAGAAGCCTGATAACTGAAAGCTCGGCCTCTCAACTCTAGGAACCACGAGTAAACTTGCAGAATGAGTGTGAAGTGCTCTGTATGGATTACTAGACGATGGAGAAAAAATAAAATTGGAGAAATATGATCTCTCCTAATTATAATCAGAACTTTGGCAGCAACATTCTGGCTCAACTGAAAACTTTTAAACAGTTTTCTTGACGACAACATCCTAAAGAATTACAAGAGTCCAGCCTGGATTTCTGAATCTTTTCTAGGACAAGTTGTTTCCAATCTTAGTAACTATTTCATGATTTATTAACGATCCAAGCTGTTTAGACATTTCAAAAGAATACAGTCAGTTTAAATTTTACTGCAAGGATCCTAAATTCCTCCATGTGGCCCTGTGATGGACTTGCGACCCGTCCAGGGTGTACCCCGCCCCTCGCACAGTGATTGCTGGACATGGGCACCAGCGACCGTGACCCAAAATGGAAGAAGCGGGTTAAAAGATAATGGATGGATGGACAAAGCAAATAGTCTTTTCAGTTGACGACTTGGAGGTTGTAAATGTGTGTGTTTGATTACGGGTGGGGGCACTCAGTCTTCTTTTTCTGCTCGTCTTGGGGTGATGTTTTATTTTGTTTTGCTCCGCCTCCTTCGGCAGACATCACTCTGATTTACCAGAAAGTGTGTTTGATAAGCACAACAGACAGAAGCTGATCTACACTAATAAGCATAATATTTACCTTGGCCTTTCGTTTAAAAGGCCCCAGCTGTCCGGAGCTAAATGTGTGCTTTCCGACCGGGCTTTGTTGTCTCTCCAGAACATCACGGAGCTGTTTACCAAGCCCAGTGACACGTTCCACCACTCAATAATAAATGAACATGGCTTTACTGTTGGGCTCCTCTCTTCGCTGCAGGGATTTTCCATTGTTTTGATCTTTTATCTTGATAAAATAAGAACAAATTGAAGTGAGGACAAACCCACCAGACAGACCCCTCAACCTCAACACAAAACTCTTGATTTAGGAGTTCCAGAAAAGATAAAGCAAAAAGATCGTGAAACATTTTCTCACTTTGTGTTTCCCGCCATTTGAAGCAAAGCAGCAATGTCTTTGTTTGTCTGGAGTGTCAGTAAAATATTCAATGAACCTCTGGATAGATTTAATGAAACTATCAGAAATTAACCACTAGGTGTATGTTTATAATTTATTACCTTTTGGAGTTAGCACAGTTCAAGATGGCCGCCACAGACTTTGGACACACAGAAATGGCCATGACTTGAATATCTCATGAACCAAAGGAAAGTTGGCAGAAGATATGTATTCAAGTTCAAGTTCAAGATACTTTATTGTCATTAGTATCACATGTGGTACATGAGGTGGAACGAAATTGTGTGCTTGAGGTCCCAATTACACCCCAAAATAGCAAAAATATAAGTATAAAATGAAACAGTATACAAGGGTCTAAGATATACGCTAAACAGCAACACGAACATGAATACAGCAGCATAAAGGCAAGAGATCAGCAGCGTGGATAATCAGCAGCACAGATAAGTCACATGTCACCAATAAAAGTGGCATTTCGTTTTAAGGAATGGTAGGCGCACAAAACACAAATACATGGTTTTAACATTCGTAAATTTTCTGTCTTTTGTCTTTTTCAGGAACTCAGTGATGTTCAACAATGAGCTGATGGCAGATGTTCATTTTGTTGTGGGTCAACCTGGACGGACCCAGAGGTTGCCAGGACACAGAGTAAGATTTCATCAGTCTGCAACGTCTCGGTAGCCGGGAGGAAATGAATGGACAAGTTATCAGGCAGCTTGTTGTTCGTAATATACATTTTCTCTTAGTCCCAGCTTTCAGGGAAGTCCTTTGTGCTCTCTGCACTGTGTGTGTTTTTCGAGACGGTCCTCAATTATTTATGTAAATGAGGCTGAAGGAGAGCGAACAAGGAAAAGGAGGAAGGGACGTCCTCACAGAACGGACAGCATCTTAGTTCTGCTTGAGCGCTACTTTTTTAAGTGCTCTGCAATGAAAATAAAGTTAAAGCTGCAGCGTCACAAAAATAAGAGACAGAGGAAGGTACATTAGGAAAAGAGAATAATTTAAACTTTCATGCAGCAGATTAGCATTAAAATTTTAGTGCATGAATACGTTATTAATCACTGTTGAGGGGGAAGCTGGATAAATTATGCTGCCTACGTTTGTCTGTACAGTTTGCAAAATATTTCATCAACCATTGGATCATTTTTTAAATAGTCATAGTATGTTAAACTACAACTGATTGACTTTATGAGTAACACCGTTCAAGATGGCCGTCACAGCTAATCGACTTAGTCAGATACAAAAAATGTCTATAACTCAGTCAAACAAATAATGAGGTTGTGATAGCTGAGTGTCATTCACACTGTGGGGAACTGTTCGGGCCTTCTACGCCTTCAGAGAAGGCCTAAGGATTCAGAACATGCCAAATGTAAAATTTTAAACTTAAATTTCATGTTTAATTTATAGAAAATAAAAATGTTCCTTATTCTTTTGCTAATTTCTCCTATTTTTTTGTAAATTACTTCTCAGGTGAGCGAGAAACTTTTTTTTGATTCGTGAGAACACAGTTATCCAATCGGATTCTTAAAAAAATTTCTCGGCACAGAAACAGGTTTGAAGGTTCTTTTTTCAGTGTGTGCAGAGAAGGCACGGCTCAGTCTAAACCTCTGCAGGATGAGTTTGATAACTGACAGGACAATTAACCAATCACAAAGCTGACATAAAGTGGGTGGGACCAAAAAATGGGACTCCGAGCCTTCATGAAGGCCTTGCAAAATGGTTTACTTTTTGACCACATGAAGATTCGTGACGCATTCAATTGCAACATGTACATTTTTTTAAATCCACGCAGAAATTGTAGCTGCTCTAAAAAATGAAGTACAGTAGTCCCTCGTTTATCACAGGGGATCCGTACCCTGAAGCCCTG